GAGTTCAAGAAAGTGACGGATAAAGACGGGAACATCAACAACGTGATATGGACTAGGGAGGACTGATGTGAGCTGGTGAAGCAACAGAGAAAAGGCGGGGACAGGGAATGGAGGATATTTGAATTGGAATTGTGGAGTGGGGACAAAAGGCAGAAATGACGAGAGTTTTCGCAGCCTTTAAGACACGTCCAGAAAAACTTATCCAACAGCAGAGGGAGTGTATAACAGGACAATTTACGTGGATGGTAGAGGCATAGGTAAATACTGTAGATAGAACATCCTTTTGAGACAACAGCACTGACAGCAACGAGGTGACCAAAGTCGGTCGGCACTCCGGTCCCAGTTTACATGTATTTTTGTACTCGGGTGTATTGTTATGAATAGACGTTTCGTTTGTTACCTGAAGTGAAGAGCGAGCGAGAAGAGGCCGAAGGGGACGAAGGCAGGAGGGACCGAGGGGAACGGGGGGGGTTTGGTGCCGTCACTCCCCCCCTCAGTTCTCAGGCACCTCTCATATCACATGATCTCCTCTCCCTCTCTTCGCTCCCTTCCCCTGTCCCATTCTTCCCTCATCGACTTCTTTCCTTCTCCGCCTTCCCTTTCTTTCCTTTCCTTTCTCCCGCACGTCCCGTCACCACATCCACCGGCCCCACCTGCCCGCCCACACCCACTCCGACAGCGCGGTCCGGCCCGAAACAGACCGTGTGGAGTTCGAACGGAGGGTGGTGCAGGCGGAGAGGGCGGATGTGGAAGCGAGGAGGAGGGAGGGGACCTATAGGAAGCGAGGAGGAGGGAGGGGACCTATACCGGTAATGGAGGAGGATCTGAAGGGAGGTAAGAGGAGTGTAGGGGTGGGAAGAGAGGGTGGCGAGGGCTGTGAGAGGAATTGATTGTTTCAGCGAGGAGAAGGTAGGTCCGGGCCGAATCTTGTCGCGCTGTTCGTTCCTTTATTCACACTCACGGGCATCCAAACCACTTGCTCGTGCACGTGGATGTTCGCCCCGCTCACCGCACATTGAACACGACTCGAACAGAACGTGTCTCCCAGTCAAGTGGGAGAGTTGGACCGGCAAGCAGCCAAGGGGATCGCGGAGCTGGGGAAGGAGAAGGTCGAGAGGGTCAAGGTGGAGAGGGAGAAGGTGGGTTGGTTGAGGGTGTTTTGGTGGGGAGCGGGAGACCAAGGATGAGGGATATACAGTGCTCAGTTTCGGTTTGTGGGTTTTTGGGAAGAGTTGGTGTATTTGATGACGCTCTTTTCGGCTCCTTTTGTTCCACCCCTCGCATCGCTCCGTCCACCGGGCACGGACGCACCTCCGTCTGCTTCCGACCTATCTTAGTTTTCCCCACCTTGCCCTCCCGAGACCGAGCTACAGTCCAATCTCACCGCCGCCCTCTCCCGCGTGCACCGCCACGCTCGCGGCCCAGCTCGTCACGGTCCGGTAGCACGCTTCCACTAGAGCGTTCAGGCCTGGAGGGGCGCCGAGCGTCGCGCCGAGACGGATGTGGGCAACGAGACGGACTCAACCACATCGGACGAGAGCGAGTTCCAGGTGGGGAGTACGGCACGCCCAGAAAAGGTGTGGGGTCCGGGTCAGGAGCGGGTTATACACGGGTTCGGGAAGGAAGCGGAAAGGGTCAAGGGTGAACGGGCAAGGCCGGCACACGCCACTGCCGCGACGACAACGCCAGTGGGGGTTGCCCCGGCGAGGGGACCGGCACCTGTCCCACCGACAAGCATCGTGGGAAGGGTGGCGAAAGCAGACAGATCGCTGCTGGGTCACTCTGATGATCCCTCATTCAATACCGAAAGGTACTGGACAGAGGACCTTTCTCTGCAGGCACAACTCTGAATCCCGCGTCTTTCTAGAATGTGCCTCTTCAGGCTTGATTCGAGTTTCACTCTAGTGGATGGATGAACTGTCTTAACAAAGTTTATGGAAAGAAATATATAGTAGGAGTGGAAAGATCTTGTCGCTAGTAATTATTACGTGAGCAACGTTGAGACGGGGATTCCGTCCCATTGATGGTATGTCGAACCACCAACATCATGCCCGCGCGACCGCAATACTGCAAGTTAGATTGCTCATGCCAGCAAGACGGAACGTCCGACAGTGAACGCTAACGTCGCAAATGAAAGCAAACAAATTACAAAAAGACTTCGTCGTCGACAGGATTCAAACCTGTGTGGGCAGAGCCCAAGTCATATCGAGTCACTTGCCTTTAGATATCGCTCAAAGTGACGTAGTCAGTTGCCACTACTCCACGTCCAGGATGAGGATGGACCCGACCTCGAAATGAACTGACGTTGTCAAGGCTATCCTAGACAAAAAAAAGTTGAGCCAGACGCCCAGAACCCACGAAAACAGCAAAAAGGAACGTCGTCCACAGGATTCGAACCTGTGCGGGCAAAGCCCATTTGATTTCGAGTCAAACTCCTTAACCTCTCGGACAGAACGACCTCCGCGATTGGTTTATTGGGTAAAATATATAATTATATTGAATATAATATGCATGGAAGATATGATTTCACTTATGTTGGCATTCGGAAGAAGACCACAGCATCCCAACCATCTCTAACGGACTCTATCAATGCAGCAGTGTTACAGGAC